CCTGTTGTTCAGTGACATTGGTTAAATTTTCCACATTGTGTCAACATTCTCATTATTTCTATTCTGGTTGTTACGTTTCCATTATTCTAACTTCCCCACCAGCCCCCCAAACTTCTCATCTTTGCTTTAGGGTAATTGTTGACAATTTGGTCTCAAATAGATGATTTTTTTTTTTTTTTTTAAATATAAAAGGAACACTCTACTCATGGGTGATATTGTTTACTTTATGAGCCAATCTGTTATTTAGTTTAAAGGTGACCCCTGGAAGTAGTTTCAGTTCAAAGTTTAAAGGGTATCTCAGGGTGGTAGTCTCTGGGTTCCCCAAGTCTCTGCTGGTCCAGTAAGTCTGGCCTTTTTTTAAGATTTGAGTTTTGTTCTACAATTTTTCTCCTGTTCTCTCCAGGACTGTCTATTGTGGCCTTGGTCAGAACAGTCAGTAGTGGTAGCTGGCACCATCTAGTTCTTCTGGTCTCTGGATAGGTAAGGCTGTGGTTCGTGTAGGCAGTTGGTCCTGTAGACTGGTTTCTTTCTTGAGTCCTTAGTTTCCTTCTTTCTCTTTTGCTCCAGACGAGTAGAGAACAATAGTTGTATCTTCGATGGCTACTCACAAGCTTTTAAGAACCCAGATGCTACTTACCAAACTAGAATGTAGAAGATAAACTTTATAGACTGTGTTGTGCCAGTTGACCAGATGCCCTACAAGACTGTGGTCCTTAGCCTTCAAACCCAGTAAACCAGTCCTGCAAGGTGTTTGGTTATGTCTGGGAGGTATCCATGACTGTGCCTCTATGTGCTTTATTACATGTATGAATATATTTGCAGCACTCACAAACATGAATATAGATATACCTACAGAAACACTTATTATGCTCACATATATACATACATATAACTTTCTATACACATATATGTGTACATATCTATCTACGTAACCATTCCTGTATTTTTTAGTTGTTACTGCTGTTGTTGCCAAATTGTATATGTTATAGCATTTACCAATAATGTTCAATTAAGTTTTGATGAAGATGGTTAACCTAAAAAATATCTAAGTGGCTGCCGTGTTGTTGGCACTTAAGGACATGGCCCTGTGTTGGAGGAGGTAGACCAGATCTCTGGCCTACACTAACTTCTTCCAGCATCAGTTTCTTCTCTACGGCTGGATTCATTACTTTGAACTCATGAGTCTTCTTTTAAAAAAAAACAACTCCCCACATTGCCTCAATAATGTTGATTCTTTAGTTGGCATTCAAGGCTTTCTGTGATCTCATTCATCTACCTTTCTTACTCATGTCCTATTGCTCACTTTCATGTATACTCTATGTTCCAGCCAAACTGGTACATACCCATCATTTCCTACCTCTTCCTCTGCAATCACATGGCTTCCTGCCAGGATGTCTCCCCTTCACTTCCCTCATGTCTTCATGTCCAAATCTTGTTCCTTATTTGTGATTCAGCACAAATGCCATTTCCTCCAGGGAGGCTTCCTTGCTCTTACTAGGTAAACATTTGAGTGCCTGTAGTGCTTCCACCACTGCAAAGGAGATGCTTCTCTCCCCTGAAAGTCTTCCCCTGATTTAATTGCCTTTTACAGTTTGTGCCATTTTGCTTCCCTGCATCCCATGTCCTCTCCTTGAGGGTAAGTTGGATTTACGTCAAACTCTTTTTAGCCATCTTTCTGCCTAATAGTGTTCAGCCCACAGCTGAGTCTGAAGAGGTGCTGGCTGAATAATTGAACACCTATTTCATGCTTTGCCCTGAGCTAAGCCCTTTCCATGCTTTGTCTCATTTAATCCTCACACCATCCCTTTGACAGAGATGCTGTTGTTATCCGGAGGAGGAAACTGAGGCTCAGAGAGACTGAGCAACTTGCCAGGGTCACACAGAGCCAAGATCTATGCTCAAGCCTTTCTACCTTTTAACCACTGTATTACGTGACCTGAATGAATGGGATAGATACAACTCATAAAATAGGACCTATAATATAAAAACCCCATACGAAGATATAAACTTCTGAAGATGCCACCAATTCAGAAAGAACACTTCTTATTTGTAAAATCTCTGTGTCCAGTGTGTGTTAGCTGTGCCTTTTATGAAGAATAGCTCACTGCCTTCTCCACCTTGAGACTAGAAGAACTAGATGATTCCCTGCTACCACTATTGAATGTTCTGATCAGGAATACTATAGATGAATCCTGATAAAAAGGGAGAAAATGTGGAACAGAACTTCAAGTCTTAAAGAATCCAGACTTACTGGACCTTTTGAGGCTGGAGGAGTCCTGAGACTATGGCCCTAAGTTGCTCTTCAAACCTTAAGTTGAAACTATCCCCTGAAGTCACCTTTAAACTAAGTAACAGTTTAGCCCAAAGACTTTGTCCCCTTCAGTATTGCATTAAAAAAAAAAAGAAAATTATAAGACCAATGGGTCAACAGCTATTTTAAAGCATAGATGAGAAGGTTGAGGGGCCAGAAGATTAAGTAAATGGATGTGAAACAACTAAAACAGAAATAACAAGGATGTTGACACAATGTGAAAGTATAACCAGTGTCACTGATCATTACGCCTAGAAACTGTGGAGTCGGAGCTGGTTTTGCTGTGTATATTTTCACCAAAAAAAAAGAAGAGCTCACAGCCAGGGCTACATCATGATTGGAGAGGAGAGGAGAAAGGCAGCCCGGGAGCTCAAACAGTCTTCCCAGGCTCACTCACAGCTGTGACTTCCTGGGAGCTGGTGTTTCAAGGTCCCTCATCATGGTAGATGATTCTCTTGGGTCTTGGAGAAAGATGGTAACATTGCCTCTTTGTATCTGCATTTCTTCTTTAACCCCAATACTTAAAGGGTAATGACTGTCAGGCTCTGTCCTGAGTCCTCTGGGGCCACAGAGGTGAATCGATCCCGTTGAAGGGCCTCTGCTCCAGATGGAGAGGTGAGACCTGTGAGTAAACAACCTTACCAGTTGCCATTGAGTCGATTCCTACTCATGGCATCCCCATGTGTGCAGAGTAGAACTGCTCCACAGTATTTTCAATGGCTGTGAACTTTTGGAAGCAGATCGCCAGGCCTTACCTTCTGAGGCACCTCTGAGTGGACTCAAACCACCAACCTTTTGGTTAGAAGTCGGGTGCTTAACCATTTGCACCACTCAAGGACTCCATATATAACATAAAGCTCAGAGTAAGAGTGAATGTAATCCTGAGAGACACAGGTTTTTACTGTTCAGGTTGGGAGGAGAGAGAAACCCTGTCGGATTGCACAAGAGCTCCCAAACCTTGGCTTCCGGGAGTGGTTTCCTTAATTAACACCCCCATGTTCTGACTCCATTTGTAGGGACTTGTTTCTAAGCCTGGATGTTTTGACACCCCCACAGCCCTGCCAGGAGTTAGCTGAGGGCCATGATCTTAAAACTACGAAGGGTGCGATTGCAGCCTTTGTTCCTGGAGCAGCCTCTCTTTAGCGAGGAGAGCTGGGTGCTGGCAGATGCTTCCCTGTGTTGGGCTGTCTGGACAGCTCAGACTCTGGACTAATAAAGGGAATACAGGAACAGACACTTAAAGCATCTTTTGTACCTTGCACTTTCTGTAGCACACTCATTTAGCTCCCACTATAAACCTATTTTGCGGCTGAGGAAACACATTCGAAACAGCCCAATGACACATTGTGAAGAGGCAGCTCTTAACTGTCGCCTGATGCTGGGAGTGGAAAATCAGTTAGGAGGCACAGATATGGAGCCGTGTTGTTGGGGAGAAGAAAGGACTGGTCTGAGCTTAAGGGCAGAATTGGTAGTAAATATGTCCTTGTTCTTGTTGCGGGCTCGAGCTGTGGACAGAGACCAAAGTGCTGTGGAGATCACCCTTTGTGCAGGAGAGACTGGTGCAATGCAAGCTGTTTGGTTAGATCTTGTGCAGCAGACAGCTGATAAGGACTGACTAGTGGAGGGGGTAAAGGGGCATTGGTGGTTCAGTGGTAGAATTCTTGTCTTCCATACAGGAGATCCATGTTTAATTCCCTGCCAGTGTACCCCATACACAGCCACCTACTCATTTGTCATTGGAGGCTTATGTGTTGCTATGATGTTGAACAGATTTCAGCAGAGCTTCCAGACTGATGGACTAGGAAGAAAGGCTTGGCAATCTAAATCAGCCGAATGAAAACTCTATGGATCATAAAGGTCTGATTTGCAACTGATTGTGGGGATGGCACAGGACCTGGCAGTGCTTCATTCCATTGTGCATGGGGTCACCATGAGTTGGGGGCTGACTCAGTGGCAGCTAATAACAACAGTGGAAGAGGTAGAGCATTACAAAGATGTGGTGTGCAAAGTTAGACAGGAAAAGATGGGAAAATCTGGTTGCCTGGCTTGATCTATTTCAAGCCACGAGTTGGGGGTGGGTGGGGTGGCCCTTTCTAGATCATAGTACAAAATCAGAGATTATGATCTCAAAATCAAAGAATAATCAAAACCATAGACTTGGAGAATGTTACAACCGGAAGGGGCCTCAGAGAGAATATACACTTTTATTGTTTTGCAGCTGTAGACAGCTGCAGCCCAGGAAGGAAAGCAGCATGCCAAAGACAACAGATTGTTAGCCACAGAACCTGCGCAGCTTGATCTGTGTCGAGCCTGCAAGACAGAGGTTTTAGAAAAGGAAGAGAAGTTGAATGGAATGGATTCATAGGAGGGCAAGGCAGTGCATTAACCTCTATTTTTTGAGAAATTTGCCAGTGTGGGGAAGGAGAGTGGCCAGAAGGGGTTTGGGAGGGCTGCGCCAAGTCAAGATTTGTAGGATACGGTGGCCTGAGTGTCTATGGAGCTGGAAGAGTCTATGGTGAGGGGGGAAAACCAATATGACAGAAGGAGGAAGGAAGGAAGGATAACTGTAGGTGGGATCCTTTTCTGGCTCTGAGATGGTGTCCAGATGCTGGACAACAGGCTGTCAGGTGGTATTTTTTGTGCGCTAACAGCTTGCTCTTCCCTCTGCCCTCCCACCCCCACCCCATAGGTGATTGCTGTGGTAATGGATGTGTTCACCGACATCGACATCTTCAGAGACCTGCAGGAAATATGTAGGAGACAGGGAGTTGCTGTGTACATCCTCCTGGACCAGGCCCTGCTTTCCCAGTTTTTGGACATGTGCATGGATCTGAAAGTTCATCCTGAACAGGAAAAGGTTTGTGTTACACTGCTTCCAGGTTCATCACAGTCAGCAAACATTATGGAGCGTCTGGGATCTACAAGGCAGTGGGTGGTGGTATCCTCTTTTACAGGTGAGGAAACTGAGGCCCTGAGCAAAGTTGTTCACCCAAAGTCTCGCAGAAAAGAAGCGACAGAGTCAGAATTCAGAACCTTGGCCTCTGCCCCGCACCGTGCTGCCTCCTGACAGAGCACGAACAACTCTACTGTTGATGCATAGAGGCTGCCCCAGAAGCGGCTTCGTTTGACAGTAGCTCCAGTAGGTTCCATGATGACCACCGCTTACTGAGCTACTCCTCTGTCCTTGGCACTGCCCTAGGCTCTTGACAGATGTTATGTAACTTAGTCCTCCCAGCAACCCTGCCAGGTAAGGCATCATCCTTGTTTTTTAGATCAGGAAATGGCAACACAGAGAGCCCAGTGTGACAGCTAGAACGTGGTGGGACTAGGGTTTGACTGTAGTCTATCTGCCTCCAACTCGTGTGTTTGTAATCACTCTCACATGCTGCTTTTCATTTCTCATCATTATAAAATGAGACTTTTCGTGTCCTTTTCTCTGCTCATGAAAGTAATTTGAGTTTAAGTATTTAAATGTAAAACCATACAACTTACCTAGCTTAATCTCTTTTGTTGAAAGAGGCAAGAAAAGTAGTTATATTTACTACACAGTTCATTTTTATTTTTTCCCATACAAAAATTTATACATACATTGTTATGTGACCCTAATTGCTCTCCCTATACTGTGACAGCACACTCCTCCTTTCCACCCGATTCCCCATGTTCATTCAACCAGCTCCTAACCCTCTCTGCCTTCCCATCTCACCTCCGGACAGAAGCTGCCTGTTTAGTCTCTTGTATCTAC